TTAACTTTCGAGGTAAGTCGGTTTCCACAGAAACAATAAATGGAATACTACAAAAAAGAAATATGATTACGTCAGATTTTTTTATCTGTCTGTAGAAGACAATCAGATATCTATTTTCTAAAATCAGTTACTAACCTGTACACCGTAAAACTGGTATTTTGTACAAAACTTCCGGCAGTTTTCGACAGTCATGCCTTTGTTGTGTGTTACCTTTTCGTGTAAGGTTCTGCTGGAGTGGTCCTGAAAGCATCCCAGGTATACTACTAGAAGAACAAAAGTTTTCTTTTTAATTTATTTACCTCAGACATAACATTTTAAACCAACATCCTTGTAAGTCTCTTGATTTAATGTCGAAAGGGAAAACAATAGAGAATGAGTTTCTCAAAGCTATTTTCCCGGTTTGATCTAGAGCAATATGTCATGCAGGCTGATCCTTTGAGTTACGTAATATGAAGATAACGAACAATATTCAATCTCAAAAGTCCATTCAAATACATGAAATACAATCAGCAGCAAAGAAAACAAGGAAAACAACAGAGGTGGGATCATTTACCACTGATGATTGAGCATTGATACCTGCTGACAAGGTCATTGCATCCATCACAATATTTGGGAAATGATTTTAAACAAGACTGTTGATATTCTTTTTTATCAATTTCTTTGTCAATAGCTTGCTTCGTCGAAAAAATTGTTCGTGCGTAGACCCTGCTCCTGCGTATCTTATCATTTTAGAGACATTAACCCTATATACAGGTGATAAGGGAATATAAAGTAAGGAAAGTGAATACAGGTGATAAAGGTATATCGTTACAATCTAGATTTTCGAAATCTAAGGCCAGTACAGATATTTTGTAAATAAAAATTTTAGAAACAATATTCGATGTACATTGTGTGCATTTTTACTCGAAATATAGTTAAATAGAAGTCTTGTTCTTTTCTGAAAAAAGTAAGAACATTACTTTTTATTAGATGCGTCAATTAATTTGTTGAAATATTGAAGTTTAATGAAAAAAATCTAGTTGTTTTAGCAGCATTTTTCCTTAAAATGTTGCGGTATCAAAAATATACAATTTGCAATATCCATATCCACAGATTCGAGTCTTTAATCTGCTGTCGAAAAATCACAATTTGGACTTTCCTTGACCTCTTGAACAGACTATATAAAAGTCTCAAAAGGACATAGTTTGATGCAACTTTGAATGTAGTCGTTTTGCAAATTCCGGATTTTGATCAGTTCTGAATAATTATTAATTAAAGAACTGTTTATAAATAAATCAAACGATTAAAAACAAATTGAAACCTATGGCATAAAGACTTATATGAGTGTTTTAAATATGAGAAGCTTTGATTTTTATCCGTCAGTTTCTGTTCGGTATAGTACTTGAAACAGTCAACATACTTCTACAGTGTAACAAATCTGGATCAGCGCGAAGCGTATGTCTGCAGAAAATCCTTTGTAAAGACGTCATTTTAAAACATAAACCAATATTCCAGGTATCAAAAGTAAGTTTGATATGTATTTTAACAAACACTTGTCGGAAATAAATTATGACAACACTGAAAGATGGTAACATTTTCGAGTTGTCATTTTGCTAGTTCCGGATATCCATAACAAACACTATAATATGTTTGTTCTCTGTAGTTTTCTTCAATGTAAACGTGACTGTTATTATTCCCCGTTGAAAAGCAGGGGTTACAATCTATAGAATATTTGGGGTGTACTCCGTTCGTCTGTCTGTCTTTCTGTTCCGCTATCTGTAATGCATTGTGGTACCCATCTCTTATCTGCAACTACTCTTATAGCACTGAATGAAATTTTATGAAACTTTCACAGAATCTTTTCTACAAAGTGCCATTGTGCATCCTCTTTATTTTTTGATCTGACACAGACTTTGCTTTTTACATAACAAGACATGCAAATACTAATTCTATAATATTGAAGGGTACCTATGTCTTATCCACAACTCCTGCTTTACCACAGATTAAAATTTAATGATACTTAACACAGATTTTTTATTACATAATGCCATGGTGACGTTTTATTTAACTTTTTGATCTGGCACTACATTCGCGTCTCCCATAGCTAAAAATTTACTTAGCCATTATAATCATATGAGAAGCGGTGGATATCATTTAGTAAGTTCGGTGCTAACAGTGACTATAGTTTCTCTTTATTCTTTGAAAATATCACTAACTTAACGATTAGCAATTATTTAAACTTTTCCCAGTCATGTCAATGGATAATGTGGGGGATCGATATTTTTAATTCAGGGTCGAATTGCATGGGACCTGTTAAGGTATTCGGAACTCTTCACCTTATTTGTAATTGGTAAAATGAGAACCTATGTTACCTTGCTCAATCAAAAGGTTTTTTTAAAGGCTTAATCTTTATGAAACAATATTTAATTCCACAAGCCATTGGACTACTTTGACAAATAACTCAGTTTTTGAAATAATGTCTTGTATATTTATAGCACTGTCGAATTGGTTTCCTATTCGGAAATGGTCAATCAACTGTAATTACTGTTCACTTGCATAAGGTCGGCATGAATCGAAAGAGATGTCCAGGCTACGCTTACGTGTATGTGTATTGTTAAAAAGTCTCATCACATTCACAATGCTACACAATAAAGTGGAAATATTCCCAGCACTATCAACATATTGCCATTACATCCAGTCTAGTCTTCTAATCTAATAGTTTTCTTGTTGCTAACAGAAAAGTGTACTCAGAGATAACCTTGTAGTATGATAATAAAGTTACATGGAAATAAACCTGCTCCAATCTTTTAATATGTTTAGTGTTAACTTATCAAGAAAAAGTCCATTTCAACATCCAAAACAAGTTTGGAAGTTTTCGTCCTTAGATGCACTTTATCTATACAAGTTTAATCATAACAGGTCATGATATTATATTGTAATGGCCTGGGGTAGACTTTTATTTTTTTATTTAAATGTGTCAACATTTATTGGGATAATTTATCATGCATGAGTGAGCTACACTACTACATTTCAATCCTTTGCTTATTTACTCAACGTGGTATTGTCTATTAATAGCACATTTGGCATACTTGTTTGCATTTATACAGGAAATCCTATATTCTATGAAATCATGTGCATACCTTCAAAATCTTTGCATGATACTGTATTTAACTTAATTATTTAGGAGTCAAATAAGCGCTTGACATAGCCATAATTGCATAAGATTGTTGGAGTCATGGAAGTTGTTTACATCCCTCCGACATCTTCTTTGTATTAGCCAAAGTTTCGTATTAGAGCAAGTTGTATTTTGCTATGCAATTCAATGTTATAATTGCTTGTGAATATCCACAAAATTAATATGTGAATATGTTTTACTAAGATTTATCAAGGGTTTTTACGTTAAACGGGATTTAATGGTAGATACACATTTTTACTATGACCGAACTATTTGAATATCGTCTGCTATACGATTGCAGTTTTCTATCATGAAATACGAGTTTAATTCACATGAAATGTTTACTTACTTATTATAGACAGATCGTTTGTAATCCATATTTATTGGTTATTTTGTCTTTTCATAATTTAATTCCCTTTTATAGTTATTATCCTCATTGTACAACAGCTTGTTTGGCACTGTTTGGCAGATCTCTGTTTGTACGGCGCCCTACAGCGCTGTGATTGGTCGAGTGTCACCGAACAGCTATTTCATTAGTAATTCGTGTCACATGACTACTTTGGAAGGTTATAAATAAAAGTGCCTCGCCAGTTTCTGTCAGATAAGTTGCACCGGCAACATAAGCAGTAGGAGCCTAATCCTAGGTGAGACAACTGTAAACTATCTCCCAGCACACTGGACACCTGATGTTAGGTTTTTAAGAGCTTTTTAATGCCAAATCAACTTTCTTACCATTTTTACCATTAAAATAAGGTTGACACTAAGGACCAAAAACGAATATTAATTGTCTGTATGTATCCAATATAGATGTGTGTTTACCTACTGTAATTTTCAGTTAAATGATCAATTAATAAACCAATTATTAAACTGATACCAAGCCTTGTCCTTACTGAGAAGTTGCATTACTGAGAAACATGAAGCAAGAAATATGGAGTGACCTTGAAAAGTGTTGTGTAATTACTTTGTATAGCCCCTATTCCAGGATGGCCATCCGTGGGGAAGTTTACAATTTATTAACAAAAAAAAAAACATCAACTTTAGTCACTTATCAGGAAAATGTAAGTTAAATTCAGAATTCAAAACAAGTCTTGAAATTTCCGTCTCTAGATACATCATCTGTGATAATATTTACCTGAAAATCTTGGTCAGATCCAGGATCTGAATTTATATTGCATTGTATACATATCTAAATACATCATCTTTACAACTTTGGTTCAGGTAGGGAATATACAGTAACATTGTATTTGGGTAAAGACCTTCTCCAACCTGGTCACTCAAGTAGAAAATCTAGGTCAGATCCAGAATCCATAGCAAGTGTGGTAGTCTCCATCCCTAGATGTATCATGCAGGTCTGATCCAGGTAGGGCTTGTAGTTACTCGGGAATTGAATTGAATCCTAATTCTTGAACCGGGACGCCAGGGGTACATGTGTATAGCATATGCTCACCTAGATTTCGTCAAGGTGAGCTAAACATAAATTTCGAATCTTTCATTTTCACTGGGATTTTTCATACATATAATTGTCATATATATAATACAGGGTTCTCCATCGTTTGAAAATTTACTATGTTGCAGAGTTTACCCGAAGCACTAAATTTTCATGGTATTTTGGCGATCAAATTCGCAATTGAATCCCTATTCATTATAATTACAAAAGAATACATGCACACACTTTTTAAAAAAAAAATCACTAATTAGTAACACAAATTGTATTGTCTTAGATATTGAAAGAAAAAAGATAAAATATTTGTTTTAAAAAAGAGAGAAAATTCTTATCGATACTGTTGTAATACTTTTTATTTTTGGAAGTAAATGTGCCATGATTTTTGATAGCTAGTTTTCCTGATCAAATTACTGAAATACAAAGAAAAAGAAACTTTAGAATAGTAAAATACTTCAAAGTTCCTTGAAGATTAACAAAAATTATCTACATCAAGTAAATGATTTCGATACGATGTTTGACTTACATTGCCAACATAATTCTAGAGCCGTAGCTCTATAGAAAAGACATATTTTAACTACTTTTTAAAATAAAATGCAACTTATTTTTAATGCAACTACTAATTAACCGTTATATGGAAGTGTGAAAACAAATTATTTGTCTTTGTTTCTTCATGCGTAAAGTCCGGCGAGGGTGTAGGAGATAATTGATTATGCAAAGTGAAGCCCTAATTAAGTACTCTACCTTTTGGTAGAATTGTTTGTTACAGAGAATTTAAAAGCTTGGGTTTTCTAATAATTATCACAGATCTTACTGTGTCGGCAAAATTTTCACTGTGTCGCACGCAAAAGATTTGAATCGTTACTGTGTCGGAGAAAATTTTACTGTGTCGGGAGCAACACAGTAATACAGCTCATGGAAAACCCTGTAATATATAACCACTCTGGCCATATGTACCAACCATTGTACTCTGTATTTCTGTAGACGTTCATTCTCAAACTTCCACCACAAAACTGCTCTTTATTTCCGCTGCATTCCATTAAGCATTCTCTTTCTGGTTTTGTAACATTTTCGGTAAGAGAGTTTCCACAGAAACACCAACTGGAATACTACAAAGAAACAGTATGCAAATATCATATTGACTGACTGTCTGTTAAAGTCAATAAAATATCTTTTTATTGTTAATAATTTATGAACCTGGACACCGTAGAACTGGAATTTGGTACAAAACTTCTTGCAGTATTCCAAAGTCACTGATTTGTTGTTTATAAACTTTCCAGCCAAGGTTCGGCTCGACTGATCTTGGAAGCATCCTAGATATTCTAGAAGGAAAGTCAAATTATTTTTTTAAACATATCTTTTCATTTCAATATGCAAATAAATGAAGTAGAATTTCTTTATTGAACAGCATTATTTTCAATAATAATAACATCAAAGATATAGTGAAAATAATCAAGACGACAAAGAAACTTCCTTGCTCTTAGAATAAAATTGATATTTTAGGTATTGATACAATGTGGTAATCAGTAAAACTAGAGGAAAATAGTATGTGATCTTACGTGCTGAGAATTCTTTTGTTTATTTTATGCTTTGTAGCTATTTGTTTGAATGCCAAAAAAGGTTGGTTTCCATTTTTGTGGATTACCAACATGTCTGTGATGTCTAATGACACTTTTCAGTTCAAAATCCTTTAGGTCCTTAGATTCAATGTCTCGAGGAAAAAGAAATGATTTTTATCTATTTTATCGTCTAAATCAAGAACATTATATCAAGAATATGTCATGCGCGCTGTTCCTGTTACTTAAGAGACAGACAGTATACTTGACTGAATTTGTTTCAAACCTTCATTGTACTCTAGATTTCTATAGATGTTCATTCTCAAAGTTCCACCACATATTTGTATATTATTGCCGCTGCATTTCATGTTACATTCTCGTTCTGGATGCCTCACATTTTTGGTGAAAAAGTTTCCACAGAAACACCAAGTGGAATACTACAATTATAACGCATTATATGATTACGTCATATTTACGTTATGAGCCTCTGTGATCGACAACAAATGTAAATTTATGAACCTGGACACCGTAGAATTGGAATTTTGTACAAAACTTCCTGCAGTACTCGAGAGTCATGGATTTCTTGCTTGTACTTTTTCCTGTCAAGGTTCGGCTCGATTGGTCCTGGAAGCATCCCAGATAATCTAACCCAAAAAAAGCAGCATTTTTATTACAATGTGTTTTGCGTTTAAAATCAGCATGCAAAAAAGAAAGAAAAAATGTGTATGTATTTTAAACATATTTAACAGGTTGGGACACACATCTCCTTTAGCGAGATCATCTCGGTAAAGTGCGATTATCCCTCCTGAGTGGAAGAAAAAAATTACTATAAACGGGAAATTTTTTTGTTTTCATTATAAAATTATCAAAATTCTCGTGTGTATTGAAAATCCGGGAAAAAGCTGTATTCAAGTGTGAATTTACCACAAAAAACTAACAATATTGGCTAGAAATTTAAGACAATCACTGCTGCGTGTGAAAATAAGAGGCTGAAATCCATGTGAAAATCGTGCCTTTTTTAGCGAAGAATTACAGTCATATATATTTTGAAGCATATAAAATATGTATAGATATCAAAATTATATTCGTTGGGGTCTCAGTTTTCCATTCTTGTAGAAAAAATCAAAAATAACGTTCTTCAGAAACCCATGAAAGTCTTGTCCAGTTCGGGGCGACATACGCTACTGCTCGCAATAACACACTTTCTAGTTATACCTTGTAATTGTTTTATTAAGTTAATAAGAGAGGCTATTGTCACCTTTATATATAAGGAATGATCTACCGTTTATGAATAGCTTCCTTTTTAGAAGAGTCTTAATTGATCACCGATAAGATTCTTTCAATTAAAATGGCTGTGATTTGAAAATGATTATGTCGATAGCTTTTACCACTGCCACGCACCATCTACCAACTTTATTTGTTCCTAGTATCCCCCCCTTCCTATCCGTCAATCTACATGTACCATCTCTAGCCGTCTAAAATAGCACGTTTCCAAAATAACTTGCAAAGTTTGAGACAGTGCAACAGTTGATTGATTGATTATATACTGTTTAACGTCCCTCTCCAGAATATTTCACTGATATGGGGACGTCACCATTGCCGGTGAAGGGCTGCAAATTTAGGCCTATGCTCGGCACTAACGCCTTTAAGAAGGGAGGGATCTTTATCGTGCCACACCTGCTGTGACACGGAGCCTCGGTTTATACGGTCTCATCCGAAGGACCGCCCCATTTAATCGCCTTTTACGACAAGCAAGGGGGTACTGAGGACCTATTCTAACAGTAAAGGATAAATTAATTTTTAAGATCGATTAATTTACGTAGGGCGAGAATTTAAAACTGACCTTGAAAGTTTTTTTTTATTTCACTGGTCAAATATACAGAAGAATTAATATATTTCTTAGAAGATCCTGGAAACTCTGACGAGTGTAGCAAAGAATCAATGAGGGCACTTCTTACTGTATGAAGGTGGGGCTTAATATCAGTCAATCACGCGATATGAGAATCAACAGACTTCGTGTCGAGATCGTCATGCCCTACGGAAAGTCCAAAGTGACGGACACCCCATCACTATATCATGCTGTATATACTCCCGCTTTTAATTTCAAGCAGACGTATTAAAAAAAATAAGGTAAACGTACAAATACAATAACCGAATAACCGAAGTAAGTTTAAGAAGGCTACACTATTGTTAATAAAATTAATCTAAGAACTACGAGCGATAGTATTGTTCTCCCGCCTACGTCTAAGTCAATTATCAAAAGTTAACATATTCGATTGATTTTCAAAATTTTTATAGATATTTATATGAATTTTCATAAAACGTTACTTATTTGGGATACCAAAGAGAGATAACTCTATAATTTTGGTAAAGTTGTTTTTCACTATAGAAATCTACTGAAAACGGAAATTATTTTTAAAACATCTCCCCCCCCCCCGTGAAACAAAATTCCTTTTTGCAGGTAATATGGACTGTCATTTTACAAATTTAGGCAAAAGCTTTTTTGTGTTTCACGGGAGGGGGGGGGGGGGGGACATATGTTTATACACAAAAAACGAAATAAAATGCTGATTTTTCCACCAAAGGATGACTGCACTTAAGGAAACTTAGAAATTGCGACATAATTAAATTTAAAAATGGACACATTTCTTTTAATGGTAGAAATGGCCAATGTCTTAACTGCAACTTTGTGTAATTATGTTAATTAAAAATTCGTATTAACGAAGTTCGAAGTCGTTTTTATTGGGAGGAGTCATCGCATATTCTGGAATCTCCATAGGATAATGAGTACTCCCACCTTTTTACAGGCTTAATACATAGTCAGCGCATGTTTGTCTATTGTTCTCCTTTTTATGGTAGTTGTATATTTATATATATTACCTGATATTAACAGGAGATCAATAGACAAACATGCGCTCATGGTTAAAAAGAGAAAAAAAAACTGTTTCTTCGTGAGTTCACTTTCTCTATAGTAAACAGACCATTTTGACCACGTTGTTACCTGTTTAATATTATGATTAACCACGTGATTTCTATACCCAGGTAACTATGTGAATACTGAAATTCCATCACGTGACGTGTAAAGAAACACGCATTCTGTTGGGTGATACTAGTAATGATTGTCCATATCTGTTTCAATCCATTCCCATCGAGCCACGGGTTATTCTTTTTTCTCTTAGATATCTATAAGATTATTCTTATATTTATCTCAAAAGCGTTTTATTTTACTATATTTATATATTTTTGAGTGTATTATATGTCTCTACATGTTCGTAGTCTACAAGAAAAAAGAGATTTATTTGTTATTTTTTTAACCATAGCTTATTATGAACATCCAAAGGAATGAAATCATACCATCCCTAGCACGCTAATTTATGGGGAGAAGAAATAAAGAAAAACTTAAGTAATTGTGACGTTTTTCTTTCTTTTTTTATAAAAAGGGAAAAATAAAGCAAGTCTTATTGTTGTTAGCGGGTCTCGACCCCAGACCTCAATACTATTGATTCTGTGCATTACCGACTGAGCTAGTCGGCACTTATATTCGAACACGCGTATTTTTGACATCAGACATTGCTGTTGATTATCAATGGCTACTTCTACCGGTCGATGTTATTTGTTATTAGTTTTATACTTTATTTGAAAACTTAAAAAATAATAGTGACAAACATATGCCAAGAGAGAGAGAGAGAGAGAGAATGCACCAAATATAAAAACAGTAACTTTTCTAATTTTAGACCACTCTTCACATTATTAGCTCCGCCTCTTATGCATATTTATAAATCTTATCTCAAATCAAGGGCAGATAAGTCTAATTTCCCGATATTTGCAGAGAGGTGGGGTAAGAAAACAACAAATTATTTTATTGCAACGCAGTTTATAAGCTTTATGTCATTGCCTTTCATTTGGAAATAGACCAAACTCTATAACAAATGGCTTAAGGCAAAAATAAAAACAAAAATAAATGTGACAACAGAGATTGAAAAAGACCCCAAAACCGGCGTTAAGTGCAGTCATTCTTTAATGCTATTTACAACTAAATTATTGTATTCTATTAATTTAAATATATTTTATTTATTAGCGTAAAACATAAGAAAGATATGAGATACATTTTATTATATTTAAGACTATTGCAAAATATGGTGATTCTTGAATGTTCAATTTCTCTAGAAAATATCGTCTATCCCCCTTTTTTCAAGAGCTGAAATTGATGATAATTTACTGTCTAGTGCTGGAATTCAAATGATTAATCAATTTCCATAGAACTGTTCTTTGCATTCAAAAAAAGATTTAATGGCCAAATTGCTATTAATATTGAATTTAATGGGTGCAAAATGTAGGCGGGAATCAAGAGTTAGAGTTCGTAGTTCTTCCCATTATTTGCAGCAGTAGAGGCAATATTTTGAAGCACATTTATTGAGATGGGACAATAAATATTTATAAAATTGGTAGACATACTTCCGGATTTCCCTTTTTCAGAATTTAACATGATTACAGTTCAAAACGGAGTACAAATCTCGGTTTTCCGAGATGTATTTTCTCCCGATAAAGAGGGATAATTGCGCTTTAGAGAGATGTACTCGCTAAAGGGATGTGTTCCCAACCTGTTTAACCGGAATTAACACATGTCATCGATTCTGGAAATAGTCTTTAATTAATATATCATGTTAAAATGAAATAAATTACCAAATAAATGCATGTTCATTCTCAAGGGCATTTTATTATTATTCACTTTGCTTTTATCGATAGAGGTGCGAGAGATCTAAGATACATGTATATAACGAGTTTACGTTCAATAAAGATGAACCTCTATATAACCAACCTGTGATGAACGAATTACTTCAATTCAACAAGCCGAAATGTTTTTGAATTTAGTATCATGATGGAAGGTTTAAGTTGAGTTCCTCGATCTTTGGTTTCTATGCTCATCCAAATCAAAATATGTTTATCTTACAACATGCCTTGTGGTAAATTCTTTAGAAATACACTAACATACGTAACTACTCTTGATACAAACCTTTGTTATACTCTGGCTTTTTATAAATGTTCATTCTCCAACTCCCTCCACAAATTTGCTTCAGATTTCCCTTGCATTTCATGTGACATTCTCCCTCAGGTTTTTTAACATTTTTGGTAAGACGGTTTCCACAGAAACACCAAGTGGAATACTACAAAGAATACAGGATTTGATTACAATTACATTGATTGTTTTATTGAGTGTCTTTGCCATGAAAGTAAGTCTAAGATCTCTTTTTGTTTAACATGGTAATATATTTATAAACCTGGACACCATAGAACTGGAAATTCGTACAAAACTTCCTGCAGTATTCGACCGTCATGGATTTCTTGTTTGTATAGTTGTCGGCCAAGGTCCGGCTTGTCTGGTCCTGGAAACATCCCAGATATTCTAACAAAAATATGTGAACAATAATTTATCTAAGATTATTTATTAAAGACTTTATTTTGTATGGTGGGAAATTTTTGCTACCACTTGTCAGATGCTTATATGGAGTTGTCAGATGTTTATGTTGACTTGTCAGACACATATCAACTTAACAGCTTATTTTGTTAATTTATCAGATAATACTCTTTAAGACGTGTCAAAAAAATCATTAAGGTCAGAAACATGATATGTTGTTTACATTTTTCTAACACCAACAATCTGACATTTATACCTGTCATAAAAAATAAAGTCTTGTCATTGATTTGTCGACTATTTATGTATTGGAGAAGTAAACCAAACTAATATGACCTCTCTCGTGTTTGCTGCTTATTTCAATCAAAATTTTTTTTACAAATTGGAAGATTTAATTCAAATATTGATGCAAAAAAATGAACAAATATAACAGAAAATAATAATAATAATAAAGTGTATGTTAAATACACAAAATAAAACTTTTAAAGTATACGTTGAGGCAATTTAATCATAAGAAATAGTTCCATCTCTGAAATAAACTCATGCATTTTTAAAATTATTTTTTAAACCTGTTATATATGAAATAGACTTAATTGTGTTTTTAAAATCCTAATAAGGACATAAGTATTTAAAATACTTACAATTAATTACATGTACAAGTTCTACATTGCTTGATACATGTAATTAATGTAAACATATATAGATAATTAAGGTCATCCGATTTCAAGGAAAGCATTCCATTGATTAAGATTATTAAGGTCTTTCCTTAGTAAAACCTTCTACTGATTATGTTTGTTAAGATTAATTTTTTGTTATTTAAGACGCTAACTTTGAGACTTAAAATCTTGCTGATTTTCCTGTAAATTTTGATCAAGAGTTTAACTGTTTCACATGTTGCAATACATTCAAGAAATCGCCCTTTACTTTCAAGTAATTTTTATTTGTTTAAAAATTGTGGTGCTTTGGTACAACTCAAAATCTCCCAGATTACAATAGCTGAAGCTGAAGCAAAAATACTATATAAATGCATTAATTTTAAAAACTGCACTGAGATTCTGCATATCTGTGTTTTTTTTTAATTCCTGGGTTCAACATTGCGCTGGGTAAGAGAAGCAAAAATTTATTCATATTTCCCTTTGTATTTTTTAAACTGAAATATTTATTTAAGATAAGAGATGTGCAAAATTCAAAGGCCTTTCATTTGACACCACTAAAGACAATGATCTTGAAAATTAGGGATGTTGTTTCGAAGTGAGGAGGGGTCAACGGCCGCACTTTTAAGCTTCATATGTAGGAGATTTCATACTAACTTAATAGGGGTCAACATTTTCTAGGGGTGATCAAAGTTTACTAAACTTATCTGTTATAAAAAAAAAATCTGAGGGAAATCAAAAGCCATGATTGGTTATGGAGGCATCCTCAGGTATAGTGTAGATGTTTAAATCATGACCCCATGGAGTAGAGTGAGACAACAAGTTCAAATTTAAAGAGAGAAAGCCATATTTAGTCAAAAATAGTCATGATCAACAGTTACATGTATTTTAGATTCAATGCGCGTAAATTTATTTTTTTTTCAAAATACCCCCCCCCCCGTAAATGGTATGGACGACTTATGCATTTACTGAATTGATTTTTTGCTTCTTTCTAGCAACACTGTTCAGGCGAGCGATGTGGCCCATAGCTCTCTAGATCTTGTTTTCTTATGCTGTAGCATGAGAATTAAGATTACATACATGACTGCACTCATTACCAACCATTGTTGTACTCTGGACTTCTGTAGATGTTCATTCGCCAACTTCCTCCACAGATTTCCTTATTATTCCCGCTGCATTTCATGTTACATTCTCTTTCTGGATGCCTCACATTTTCAGTAAAATAATTTCCACAGAAACACCAAGTGGAATCCTACAAAGAAGATAGCACGTGATTTACAGCGTATTTTATAGTTATGATTAATTGTAGATGTCAATAAAATGGATGTATTCTGTAATACATTTATTAACCTCTACACCGTAGAACTTGTATTTTGTACAAAAATTCTTGCAGTATTTAACAGTCATGGATTTCTTGTTTGTCTTCTTTCCAGCCAAGGTTCGGTTTGATTGATCCTGGAAGCATCCCAGGTACTCTAGCAAAAATAAAATTATTACCATGATTGTTTTGTACTTATATCATATTTATTATGACCTTAAATTTCAACAAGCAAAAGACAATAATAAAATTTGAATGCGATTTACTACAATCACTATATCAAAAGAAATCTTTATTGATCAATACATGTATTCATTTTTAAAATAAATCAAGTAAGAAATGGTGAACAATTTTTTTTAACAAAGCTACCTACAAACTGATATATTTTTGTTAATATATCTAATTGTTTCATTATTGATACCTGTAAATTCCCCTGCTTTTACGTTGCATACTGAAATGAAAGAAAATGTTTTGATCAAAAGTGTTGCATTATAATAAAGTAAACTTTTTGTAGTTATAATATAGTAACTTCTTGGCCTCTATATTTTAACAGATAAACTAGCACCTTTTTTGTAGAAAGTTTTTGAATTGACAGTCATTCTAGTAGCAGACATTGATTTCGGAAAAAATATGCCAGTTATATATGTGGAACAAAACGTTTATTAATTTCGAGCGAAAATCTATGCATTATAAATCAACAAATTTTGCAAAAAACCTCCGACTGAAATGAGTGCATTAGCGTTCAAACTTATTCCTCTGAGAGTACTTTAGATACTAGGTGATCCTGTATATAAACTTTATGCAGATTTCACTCACAAAGTAAGTATTGTACATTTTTTTAAAAGTCTACTCTCAGTTTAAATAAACAGCCATGAAATAACAAGAACGAATGCACATTGTTCGGTGGTGATTTCGGTTGGCGTATCTTAGCTATTGTTAATTTCAAATAAAACTGACAGCAAGTAATGGTTATTTTCTCTCCTCTAAGTCATTACTGAATTATTTAACCAAAACTTGGTCTAAATGATATAACAAAATTAATCCGTGAGGACCGATTAAAAGGGAAAATATGCAAATTATATTCGTCATTCATTTTGTGTGAATGGTTATGGATGTAATGGTAAATCATAAATATAAATAACACTATCAGCTGTGAATATATTTCGACATGTATATAAAAAAAATCTAGTAGCATTGTTTTACTATTAGTTTTATCAGTAAAATTTATTTGAATATTGCTTTACGCAGTTTAATAATCTTTATCCCAAATAAAGAAATTATTAGCTGTATGTCAAAAATCAGAACATTGAATTATGTATTATTTCACTTACCTCCATTTTAATGTCCGAGAGACTCATAACTTTAACTTTTAACGCCCACACTAAGCAAAGGAAGATTCACTATCTGCGTTAACTGCCTTAGTTTTTGACTCGGTACTTGGATTGTCTATTGTTTAACGTCCATCTCGAGAATTTTTTACTCATATGGAGACGTCACCGTATGCCGGTGAAGGGCTTCAAATTTTGACCTTTACTCGGCACTCAAGAAGGCCATTGAGCAGTGAGGGATCTTTATCATGCCAACGCCTGCCGCTGACACGGGGCCTCGGTTTTTAAGTTCTCATCCGAAGGACCCGCAACTTTAACTTCAAAGTGCCAAGCGCATGTCGAATGAACAGTTGCTACCCCTTTTTTATCGACTTAGGTCAGTGGCGGCAGAGATACGAACTCACGATCTCCCGATTACGGAGCGAGCGCTCTACCGACTGAGCTACCATGAACGGTAACTTGGAAGAACTGGAATTATACGTTTATAAAAGACGACAATCAAACCCTTCAAGCTCATGTTTTACCTTTGATGTTAGTCCTGACGAAGGATAAATAAAAGCTTTTATGTGCATATTGAAGGATATGTTGAGAATCTTTCCCTGATTTTCTTTTAGAGTGTCGGGAAAAGGAAGACGGGGACGACGGACGACGAAGGGCGACGAAGGACAAAATTTAAACAAAACCAGAATAGGTCAGCCGATTGACGATAAAATAGCAATACAAGTATATTTCTCTCAATATTAATTCACATATTTTGATATTTTCAACGCAAACATAAAAGTGTACATCTGTGAAATTCTTATAATTTGTTTTTTTTTTACACTGGTAATTCTATTTAGATTTTTTTATGATAAAATGCAATCGCAGATATTGAAATGCAGTAATTAATTTGTTGCGTGCCAGGGGTCATTTTTTCTAAATCAATGTGAAATAAACTACTTATCAAATATTAGTAGTGCAACACAATAATATTAAATATGTTCTCTTCAAAATTTATTAGTGTTTGCAAGAAAATGCTTAAATTAAAATTACTTCTTTTTTGCTTAGATTTAAACAATTAACTTAAAAGGACAAAAAATGGAGAAATTATTAGTTTATATTTTTTTTCATATTAAAGCTTTTCAAATCAAAAAGTAAGATAAGAATGAAAATATACAGGAGAAGACTATCTACATTGTATCAAGAATTTTCATCTAGACAACATTGTGGAGCATAAAACATATTTTATCATGAATCCTAAAAAGACTTTTAGGATGTGATGATATATTCTGTTTTACTAAATAAAATTGTTCTTCTTAATACAATTGTCTGTCAGGCTTGGGGTAATGCTAATTGTAATGCATTGCAATGTATTACATGAACTCAAGGTAATGCTAGTAATGTGTAATGCCAAAAAATTTGCATTACATGTAATGGTAATGTAATGCATTACTTCATAAAATCCCATGTAATATTAATGCTGGCATTACATAGAATTACACAGCATTATTTTGTAAGATGAGTACCTATTTTCATAAATTTAAATGGACATGGATAGTGGAATTTATTGTTTAGGTTATTTATTTATTAATAAAAATGTTAACCTATTTAGATAACATTTCTGTATCTATTTAAATACACTTGTTATTCTGTTGAAAGTACACCTACCTTACATTTAAGTTTTCAAACTTATTTCAGATAAGAATTGATTTCAAAGAAATATATAAAATAGTTTTAAAAGATATTTTTTTTTTTTTTAAAAAGATCACATATGAGATACACTAATTAATGTAGAGTGTAAACTTATAATTGCCACCTTTTGAATAGCTAGTGTCATTAAATTAAAACAATGCATTGTTTGGAGAAATGCTCCAAATTACCAGTCCCTTTCTCCTGACTATGTTATATAAAACATTAATTGAGCTGATCTATTTATCTTGCACTGACCATTCTATGCTTCACTGTGCTTAGCAGATCAAAATGTGCATCCTGTCTTCTTTTTCAAAAGGTTTGTCAATGCATGCATTTATGTTTTTCATAAGGTACTTATCCAAATTGCCTATTTGCTTTATCATTAGATATTTTAGGCAGGGGTTAAAGCGCCCCAAAAGTTAATTGCTTTATGAAATTAATAGTAACACAAAAAGTGGATATTGTACATGTGTTATACAACTGACAATTCAGAACTTTGAAATTTCTTTGATTGTATGTTACTGACATTGTAATATATACAAAAACTTGAAATCAAATTTGAGTTATCATTTATCATGTTTAGTTTTGAAGGGGGTGGATACATGCTAATGAAAAAAATATCGCTAAGTTTTGTATAAATTCTATTTTTAAAAACCTCTCAAAGTAATGGTAATGGTAATGCATTACTTTACTAAAGTAATGGTAATGTAATGCATTACTTTAAGAAAATAGAGTAATGGTCATAGTAATTTAATGCCCAAATTTTTGAAGTAATGGTAATGCTAATGCATTACTTTCAATGTAATTCGCCCCAAGCCTGTTGTCTTTATTATTGCAAATTCAGGCATTTAAAGTACGATGCACGCGCAATATGATGCATGATAAATGTTAAAAATATCTTATGGTCAGTCGACATGTTAAAAAATAAAATATAATTTGGTATTCATTATTTTTTTATTCACCTTTATATTTTGTAAATATGTTATGGTTAAACAATTTGTATTTTTTAAAAATCAATTTTGTATTCATTATATTTTATCATTTTTATTAGTGTAAGTGTATCACTTTAAGCATTTCGAATTAAGTGTTTTTCTATTTACCTGAGAAGAAAATAATAAATCCGAGGTAAAATATGAAATGCATTTTCTGCCTTGATGCCTTGAACACTGTGTTGTAAAATTTTAGCCAAGAACATCTGTGCTGTAAAGTTCTGCTGTTACAGCAAGGATTAGATTACTTATGTGCATATATCGTTCATTTAAATGACATCACAAGCCATATAGAATCACGAAATATAACGTGTTACATGTAACAGTAATTAAAGAACATTCCTCTGCTATCATTTTTTTGTTACTTTGGTCCAAGAAAAAAAATGATCTTAATGAAAGTTTGGGGGTGTAAAAAATATCAAACCAAAATACTGGTAAAACGCATTATGTGTAAAAATAAAGTAAAAATAATTTGGAACAAAAAGACTTTAATAAATCATGCGTTGGTATCACTTCGTGGATTCAATTACATGTTAATCATAAAAGAAACCTACCCAAATTTAAGGGGGATGTACGGCCACTTTTAGTGCAGTGAGAGCAAAATGTAAACATTTCTTCAAATGGCTAAAATACATTATATTTTGATCAAATTTTAAGTCTTTTTGATAAAGATACAATAAATATGCACAACCGAATGCATGTTGTGCATATATAATCTATACTTTTGCAGAAAAATGCTTTTGATATGCTCCTTAGAACTGCACAGCTACAGAATTCAGCAGAGCCTTAAGAAATCCAAAAAAATATGCAAACTGTGCATTAATGTTCTCTCTACAACCATTTGTTGAGAAAATGTCTAAATTTTGCACTTTTAAATGATAATTTCAAGTTCAAAACAAGGTACCGTTGTCTTCAAAAAGAGTGTAAAGAACCATGAAAGTAGTTCATGGATAGCAGCACGTGGTCTATTTTTAGCACAGAATCTTGTTTTCCAGACCTCTTCTTAATATGGAGGGGCATAACAATCTTTAAATGTAGAAGAGAATTACAGTTGCAAAATATTTCAAATATTATGAACACTTTTAAAAGAGGAAAGGTGTTATAGTGTGGCTTGAAGTAATTTATTTAGTATTATTATCGAACAGTTGTTAAATAGTTTACGTATTGATATAAAAAAAATTAAACTCTTTGATTCCAGGTAAGGAAAAATGAGCACCATCAAAGTTAAAAATTAAGAGTTTGTAAGTTTGCCACAGATAAATTATATTATCTATTAAAATTTTAATTATCACCAATAAAACACAAAGAAATTAGACACATAAAATTGATACGAATGACCTTGTTTTAGTACCTACTAGTACGAAGCGTTATCAAAAAGTTCGCGAAATATCTCTATATCTACAAAACCACAATTCAGATTAGATAGCCAAACACAAGTTCTATAAATAGCAATGCTGAAGTTTTGCTCCTTGTTTGTGATGTCACAATCTGAAAATGACGTCATTATTCAGGTACTTTTGACGAAAAATGGTTGTCTCAGTGAAACTCGTTCAACAAACGACTATAATATTTATGGCACATGTATATCTTAGAAATGCCTTTGAAGTAGCGTATAAGAATTTGTTCACAGTTTATTAAATGGCTTCCTATAATTTCAATCAATGATTGGATATCGTTTTAGTGAAGGAAGGCAGATGGTTAAATATGATACTTGTTATATTGCCCGGTGAAAGAAAGTTTGAAAAGGGATGTGTTTTTAATGAAGCAATATGCCATCAAAGACCTTCGATTAAAATTTTACACTTTGAAAAATACTTGAATATTTCAACAATAATATAAATATCAAATACCCAAGATATTGTTTACTTTTTGATCACCCCTCGTATACTGTGTCAAATAAACATGCATTTACAATTTTCATATTACAGAGGAGCAACAGTTGAAAAGGCATGAAATCATTCAGAGTGGGTTAGGAGATTTAATGAATAAATTTTTTTTTTCTATTTGCCCATATTTTCAAAATTACAATTGTACAAAGTAAAGAGAAAAAAATCAACATATAAATGATGTTTGGTGGTCCTCCCAACTCAGGGAAAAATTATTGGGTCCGTATTTATAGTTGAGAAAAAAAATCCTTAAAATTTAAACAGAATTGTTGACGGAAGAAAAAGGAAAAAAATATCGTGTAATGGGATGTTAAAAAATGAGTCGGGCCATTTCTAGGCAGTAGATCGGGAGAGAGGGCAACCAAATATTTTTTAACAAGTGGTCTTATAAGGCTAGTACATGTTCCATCACATACTTAGTAATGCAAATTTTTTTAATCTTTGACATTATTTTGAAAAACAAACATAGGATTTTCGGGGGGGGGGGGGTTAGCACTCACTTTTTTTTGCGATGATAGACATAGCATATGCAATGGGCTTTTCTTTGCAAACATTGTTCTCGCTTCTAAATTTCATAGAAACAACTCATTATATTTTATCAAGCTTCGTATGTTCAATGAGCGAGAGCTTACAACGTTGTCAACATAATGAGACATGATGCGTTTTTGTGTCCAAACATGACCCCATACAATGTGTGGGTCATTGCAAACATTCTAGCTATTTATGTGAGGTGCCTGAAGGAAATCCTATAACTGCCTATTTTTTCTATCTAACTTCTAAACAAAATAGACATATGTACCAACTTTTCGAATGTAAGACATGTAATTACAATTTATTTTTCATGCACTGCATATTGTTTAACATTTTCAAATTAAATGCTAAGCATCCTCCTTGCAGTGCCCCATTTGAAAATAACTTCTATCGCCACAGAAGAAAGACCCACCGTAAACACATATGTTTAGGACATTTTTATCTTTTTTTCTTGAGTTTTAAAGAAACCAACAAATTATCAAGACTTGTTCCATAAAAATTAAATATAATCATGGTAATAAACGGATCTATCCACAGCAGATATATGCACATGCCAACCATGTGCATTGTGGATTAATATTTACGAGGAATTTCGAGTTGTAAACAGAACAGTTTTTCCCGATTTGCTGGAGTGAGGTTAAAATCGCGTTTTTTCATTAATCAGACGATGCGATGCAACAAATAAAAGTAGTAAGTAATATAACCTAATGATTATTACTTAGTAATTTCTTGTCTTGATGTTATTATGGTCGCATTTATTCTAAAATCATTGTTATTCGAACTCTGTGTGACAGAGGAATGGCGGACGAAATAAACACATGGCCTCAGGAAGACACCCATATGAAAAATCAAATTTTCAAGAATTATGGATAATGACAAGAATAAAACGAAACAAATGGTTGTAGCCATATTATCAATGAATCAAACTAACTCCATTTTCAATGCATTTTTCATCTCATGAATGCTGTAGCTGCGCAGTTCTAACATGATTAATTTTCTTCTAATTTAGACAAAATAAACTTAATTATTTACTAATTTTGGTCTCTAACAGTAGGTAATTAGTGCATTAGCACTTTGAGTAACTTTGAGCAAGTTTAGTAGAGTAGTAAGCGCATTCTTGGTATTTCTTAGTTTACACCAGACTAGATCCAATATGGCTTGTACATCCCCCTTAACCTGAATGAATATTATATATTGAATGATCACCTTATCTCTTGTTTTATTTCTCGTGCTTGTATAACATTAAAAATGAAAATAAAGTATCTAAAGAAAGTAAATTGATGATCCAGCATCAGTCCGACCCGCAGAACACCTTAAGGTCAAGATCTAGTAAATGAAAGGTGCCTACAGATTTATCAAACTTGAGAAATAAATTCCTTTATTGATGCTTTACAGCTTTACATTGGTCAAATAAGGTGTTTCGGGGCATAATTTGTAGGTAAACAAGATGAAAAACTGTATTTTAAACTGTCATTTTCAATGAAAAATTAAGAAAACCAGTCAGGAATATGGGAGTTTTTTTCGTATTCGGCAAAGGAAATGTATCCAAATTGCCTACAGTCTCTCAGAAAACGGTAATTAGTATGTTCATGGCCTCTTCTTTAAATCAATATCAAATTTAATATAGGTATGATCGTATCCGGTTTACTTTTCATATGATTTTAAATTGAATGACATGAAAATACCCTATTTTCTTCATAATTCTACTAAAGCCGTAAAGTACGGGAAAAAGAAAGTTAAAATTGATTATGACGTCAAAATGGATCTAGCACCAAAAAATTAGTCTCAAGTTATTTACTAGATCTTGACCTTAAAATAAATCTCGAAGATATCCATTAAATAATTGTACTTATAATATATATTCAGTGTATTTATAAATATGGGTCCCCAAAGATAATAATGAAATGATTAGTGCTCCAGAGGAAATTTACATAAAATTAAAAGAAAAACTTCAGCTTTAAATTAAGATTTTGTGAAAATAATAAACATAAAAATCTGGGGACCAGCATATATATTTGAAATAAAATTTATATTCAATAAGGAATGCATTACCAATTTTCATTAAGTAAATTATCATCAGATTGAGCCAGTGCCTCTGCAATACCATCCTTGTCAGTTTTCTGCAGTTTTTCGGGGAGTGGATTTTTAATGATTGATCTCCTTGGCGTTGAATTCTTGGTCCAGTTGAAAATAGATGGAACACTACCAGGTCTCAGAGTTGTCCTTACTGGTGTCCATTTATAGTCCTCTGCTTTAAAATGCCGTGAACAAACAACAGTTTCCTTGACCTAATGTGAAAAAAGTCCAATTTCTTTGAATTCCTACGGTGACTCATAAACTGAAGTCTTGCGATTGTCACTCAGCACTGAAGTGTAATCGTAGTAATACAGACCTTTTGCGTCTCTTGTATATCATGTTAAACGTGTATACCTTCTTTATTTTTACCACACTTGGTAAACAGCTGTAAAAATCAGTAGGGTCCCCATATACGAAACAGACTTACACATGTTACATGTATACAAAAATTTTCTATATTTCCCAATTTAATATTTATAAACAGTAATTGACACACTATATATAAATCCCATGTTGATATAGGTATGTGTTATACTACGATTATCAATATTCAAGGCGGATTAGACCTTCCAACATAACGTCACGGGGTGCAGGGTCCCTCCTTATGGCTTGAATCCATAATTTCCTGACAATTTCATTGCTTGGGAATTTGTGGAAAGACAATTCTGGGTGTAAGCGACCGTTGCCGTTACACAGAGGGACGCAACAAATGCCTGTCGT